GAAACTTTAGTCGAAGTAAGGACAAACTTCTGGATTCCAAAGGGGAGGCAGTACGTAAAGAGGATCCTGCATCAATGCGTTATTTGTAAGAAAAGAGAGGGAGTGCCGTACAGACCACCACCGACCGCTGATCTACCTGAATCAAGAGTCTCCGGAAGCCCGGCCTTCACCCATGTGGGAGTGGATTTCGCCGGCCCTGTGTACGTGAAAAGCACCAGCGGCATTACTAAACAGATGAAGAAAGCGTACATCTGCCTATTCACCTGTGCAACCTCGAGAGCCTTACACCTAGAACTGACACCAGACCTCTCAACGGAAGCGTTCGTCAGATGCTTGCGGAGGTTCATAGCCAGACGTGGGAGACCAGCCTCCATAACAAGCGACAACGCGAAGACCTTCAAGCGAGCCAACAAGGAGCTAGGACAACTACTTCAGAACAAGAGAACGCAAGATTTTGCCGCCAACCAAGGGATCACTTGGAAGTTTATTCTAGAAAAAGCGCCATGGTGGGGAGGCTACTATGAGCGTATGGTACAACTAGTAAAAAGAAGCCTTCGCAAAGTTCTCGGAAAGGCGCAGCTGTCCTTTGAAGAGCTACTTACAGTCTTAACAGAAGTGGAGGGAGTACTAAACTCACGTCCCCTCACATATGTCTACTCAGACATCACAGATCAAGAACCCCTTACACCATCGCACCTGGTCATTGGAAGACGACTTGCCACACTACCAAACCCCGCCGAGCTAAGCGATAATGAAGAAACCGCCTCCAGCCTTGAAAGGAGAGCGCGTTACCTCAGCAGACTACTAGAACACTTCTGGAAACGATGGTCTAACGAGTACCTTGTTGGACTGAGAGAATTTCATTATTGCGGAACCAGAGGAAATCAGAACAAAGAAGTCAAGGTTGGAGACGTCGTTCTGATCCACGACGACAGTCTAGCGAGGTGCAAGTGGAGATTAGGAGAAATCACCGAGCTGATCGAGAGCAAAGATGGACACAAACGAGGTGCTGTGTTGCGAGCCATCAGCAAGAAGGGAAAGCCCTCAACGATGCGGAGAGCAGTGCAGAAACTTGTCCCACTGGAAGTGAACACCGGAAACCTGCCTCAAAACGAACACGTCGGAACCGAGGAAGCTGGAATTGTCCAGCAGCCTGACCATCCAGCTGAACTTGTGAGACCACCGAGACGAGCAGCAGCAGCTACTGCAGACAAGATCAGGAGACTTCTTGACCAACAGTGAGCAGTTGGTCAAGGGGGGAGTGTCAAGAAATCGAGCCTATGAACAATGAACACTGAACTGAAACTAATAGAACAATAGAAATAGCGGAAATAGCCTAGGAAAATGAACACTTGAAACCGCACAGAGATTTGTTGTTTTGACTAATTTAGAATTTAGATGTTATCTGATCTACGTGACCGGGCGTAGTGTTACATAGCAGAACTTTGATTGTAGTCTTGAGTACGGATAGTGTTTATTGAGAGAACCGACTAGTTTTTTTGAGCTTTACCGCCTTTAGAACATCAAGCCTTGTTACACAGAAGGATTCAGCCAATAAAATTCTTTAACAGAGTAGTGCTAATTCGATCTTTCTATGCCATTTAATGACACCAATAAAAATATAGAACTCTTCAAATATAGAATTTTTGCTTTTGCTTATGATACTAACTATCATCTTACAGCTACCGTTCAATCATGACGCCGGCTATTGCTTATGAAACTGAACATTGGTTCTGTTTTTCTGTCCTACTTGCTAATACTAAGCCTTGAACTAACAGAGAAATATTACAATACAAACGGTAAGCTAAATCAGCTCTAACGATTTTTGCGCTAAATCAAATATAAAACTGATTATATACTGAACATATGTTATATTGCTGTTCTGTCTTACTTGAGTTGCTAATACTAAGTCATAGAAACCTAACTCTTCGAAAATATACCTTGAACTATTGCTTTCGAAACTGAACATTAAGGTCAGGTTCTCCGTTTTACTAGCAACTAAATAAATTCAATCTAAAAAGAAACTTCTTCATGTAAAAACGAAAAGCTGTTACCTAAGTCAAAATGATGTTAACAAAAACCTCTTTGACCATAAACTTTACAATAAACTGATCACAAACTTTTACACTACATTACGAGTAGAAGGATTTCTGTTTACTTGCTAAATCAAAGTCATTTAATGAAACCGAAAAGAAATTAATAAAAATATTCCTTAATCTGTTGTGATTATGATACTGTACATGTTTTCGGTAGGTTTGCTTTTAATTACTAATTTTAATTCGCCCAATGTTAATAGAATTTCTTCAAATGCAAGTCTTGTGCTATTGCTTACGATACTGTACTCCGCATCAATTCCTGAGGTTTTCATTTTCTGGTTTACTTGCTAATAATTACATAACTGTAAATGTTTAAACGATGCTAAAACGATGAACATTTATTTTTAAAAGGTTTAAACGTATTGTTGAAGGCATACTTTTCGAAGCTTTTCCATGTTTGAAGGCTTTTAATTCACAGCGTGTTTTTTAATCCACCTCCTGACAAGAGACAAGCCGCTCACGTGACATTTCTGTACACCGCATGTACATCCATCATCAATGTTAAAGCTCCAAACTGCACGATTAATAAGTAAAGACTAAACATCAACAACCATTTCGCATTAAAGTAAGACGAAAAACAATGTCACAACCATCAATAAAAAAATTGGAAATAAACGGGAAATTTTGGGAAAAAGACCTAAAAACAACAACAAAGCATGAATAAAGCTTTCTGAAGCCATTTTAAGCATTTTGGAAGATTGCTGGGAAAAATGTATCTGTTCCTCACTCCCGGCAAAACTGATGGAAGAGTTCCCAGCCAGCAAGGTGCACCTACAACCGACTTCCTGTATGACGTATGTGTGATCATAGAGCATTCAGGCCTTCAGTGGTAGTGGGGGGGGAGAAAGTAAAGTTGGGTGTGGCCTAAGGAGGAAATTCACCTCTTCGGTGGGAGTGGGGGGGGGAGGGAGGAAGGAGGAGAAAATGGTATCTGACAAATAACACATACCAGCTACTCAAAACATCACCCTGAATTGACACATTCCTTCCAAGGACAAATAATTTTTTCCAAATCTCCCACCCAGCAAAAATTTCCCGGAAGAACAGTTATTTTAAGGAACAGATCCAAAGGGTTTAAGAAAGGTTAAACTTGTGCGTTAACTTCTGCAAACTTAAGGCGACAAACACCAATACACAGCGGAAAAAATATGCCTCGGGGATAAACTAAATGTAGCTTTTAAACATGTTTAATATTGGTGCGAAAGAGGCTTAAGGGTTTCGGATGTTATCATTAGATCCTTCAATCGTTTAGTTCAAAGTAGTGTTAAAATATCATTGAGAACCTCAGCGAAAAATTGGCACGGGTTAACCGATGTCGGTTTCTAAACCGCTCTTCTTTTCGAGCCTAGAATGAACTTGAAGTAACATGAAAATCCCGTTTTATAATCCCGGTTATATGCCTACCCGTTTGCTACCAAAACAACGTTCTGGTTACACGCTGATTCCTTCTTATTGGTAAGCACATAACGGTTCCTCAGCAGCAATCTTTCGCCAAGAATCTCCACTGAATTTACTAAAAAACGTTTTACACGAGAGAGAATAGAGAACCTTGCACTCACAATTTGTTGCCAGATGGACACATTAAGGGAAAATCTTTGTCTCCAAAAGTCGAGCTTTCGAAAACTGCAAAAAATTAAAATACGATGAATAAGTTACTCAGTGGACGGATTGAAAATTGATCTATAAAAATTAATAGTAACTATCAAAACAATAAAGGCCACTTATTCTGACTGCTTCAGTGAAATCTTCCTGGATACTATGGATGGGAAAAACTGAATGCAAAAACCAAAAGCAATTGGCAATACTTAATTTACGCATGCAATTAGAAAATATCTGCTTATGTAAGGATCTGAAATCCTATAATAAAACTGAATTTGTATTCATTAGTGGTCCCAGATAACAAAGTAAGAACCATTATTACATCCCTTTTAATTAAACAAGATCTATGTAATCAACCAAATCTGCAAGAATATTTGAAAACTGAGAAGAAAGCTTCTGGCAAAGTTTTTAATGATTCACAAAGTTTTCTGGAGTTGAGATATCTCGCTCAATGGAGAAGGAACAGTTGAGAGAATTTGTTTAAAGATCAAAGCATTTTTCTCTTAGGTGATCATTTCTTCAATTCTCATAACGTTTTCTTATGATGATGTATTGATATTGTTAGGGGAAAATTGAGGTTGGTCACCCTTGGGACTTAAAAGGGTCAAGCGGCCAGCGACCAGCCTCGCGGAAGGGATAAGTGGCCTCTTAATAAAGGTACTTTTTACAGTGATTTACTGACAGCTTGTTCGCAGGGAATCTTATAACAGGCTGCTAAATAGAGTGGCCGCTTAATAATGGTACTTTTTACAGTGATTTACTGACAGCTTGTTCGCAGGGAACCTTGTAACAGGCGCTAAATAGAGTGGCTGCTTAATAAAGGTACTTTTTACAGTGATTTACTGACAGCTTTGTTCGCAGGGAATCTAGTAACAGGCCACCAAACAGAGTGGCTGCTTAATAAAGGTACTTTTTACAGTGATTTACTGGCAGCTTTGTTCGCAGGGAATCTAGTAACAGGCCACCAAACAGAGTGGCTGCTTAATAAAGGTACTTTTTACAGTGATTTACTGACAGCTTTGTCTACAGCGAATCTTGTAACAGGCCGCTAAATAGGGTGGCTGCTTAATAGAGGTACTTTTTACAGTGATTTACTGACAGATTTGTTCGCAGGGAATCTTATAACAGGCCGCTAAATAGAGTGGCTGCTTAATAGAGGTTCGACCCCACTAATATCCACAAACTGAACTATACTTCACACAAGCTCCTTTTTGGGAACTAATATTAACAATTTAATGTAGGTGTGTAGTAAACTCACTTAGTAAACTTAGTGATTCTTCGACTTACGATAAGGAAAAAAAAGCATTACTCACCTTTTGCTTCCCGGTTTACTTTGTCTCGCGGCAGTTTTACTTCTATAACTGCGCACATATATTCAAGGCCAATAGCGATCAAACCCTTTTGTGGACAGGAAGCCAGAGACCGGGACGGTACGAAATCTATATCAAGTACTGTTACGACATTCGCAGTGCTAACATTAAACAACTGAAGACAATAACTCCCTGAAGTATTCTTGCAGACGATAACACATTCCGTCTTACTTACAAAGGCACAGCCAAGAACACTGTCAACGGTGCATAGCGTCCGGAGATGCTTTCCTGAAGATGCTTCAAGCACAAGTACTTGTGAGTTTGTAGATGAGACAAGGACAAACTCCTCTGTTGGAGAAAACATCCCAGGTAGTAAAAAATCTAGCCATTTCAGATTTCTCTTCCATAGTCCATTTTCCCCGTCTGACAGCTGAACTGAGCTACGAGTGGTGGATAGCAGCTGATATTTACTGTTACATACTATGGATTTTTCATGAAACCAACGAGATGTTGACTGGAAACCCTCGTGACAAAATGGGATGGTCTTCACTATGTTTCCATTTGATGTGTCCAGGATGGTTACTTCAAAATCTCTCCCCACACACGCTACACAGTGGTCTGAAAATGGCACTATATCCCTAACCTCACTTAAATTAGGCCAACTTCGGATTTGTTGTGACAACTCAAAATTCCATAGCTGAACATCTGCCCCAGGTTCTCTTTGTTTCAAAAGGACACCTTCTGACACAGGTACAAGTAAAACATCACGTGTGAGTATCACTTTCTCTGCTTTACGATCTCCACTCGACACATCCAAAGATACCACTTGTAAGCCTTTATACCCTGCAGTGGTACCATAAATGGTCTTTCCATCTAAAGCGAAGGCAATGCGACAGGGAAGAGAAAAGAAATGAGAATTCCAGGTGGCCCTCGAATAATCCTCATGTTTAAGCATTGTAATTTTACTGTCGCCAGCAAGTACCGTTAATACACTTTGTTTGTTTGATACAAATGCAAATGCAAACAACTCACTAACAAAAAGGTACATGGAAATCCTGTAAAACATAGGATCTCCCATCAAGAATCCACCGTCGCTAGGTGATTGGTAATTCCATGGATCCTGGCCACAATCGTTGTGTAAAACGCGCAAGGAAAAGGTACCACAAGGCAACTTAATGACGTTTAAGGGAAAAGTTGAGGTTCCAAACTCGTAGCTTGTGTTTTCACGCCAAGACAAACAAAAAAGGAATTGAAAGTCAGGGCTAAACTTTATCATTCCACAAGGTTGAGAGGTGGTGACTTCTGCGAGAGTGGTGTCTACACAGTTCAATGCGTCAACCAAACAAACCAGTCCCGAAAAATGGGAAATTGCCAGAACCGTTCCATCTGGAGACCAAGCAAAAGACAAAACATCTTCATTTCTGATGGTTCGAGTGATCTCTTCACCATTTTTTAGATTCCACATGACAAGGCATTTAGCATCCCCAGGGCAATCGGTGATAATTTTGCTCTCGTCCCCATGAACTGAACAAACAGAAAATCTGCAGTTGCTTTTTGGAAACAGAGGTTGGAGGATTCCTTTAAACGAGTAAGCACGGCTAAGGATTCCAGGAAGAACAATGGGCTCAGTAGGGTGAAAAACAACAGAGCGATAACATGAGTAAACATTTGAGTTTGGTACCACTCTTAGGGGGAAATAAGAGTTCAAGTAGCATTTCTTGACCTCAACCGGACGTACCCACCTTTGCTCACCCGTTTTAAGTGACCAAAGGTAAATCATCCCATTAGTACATTCGCAAACCATGAACTCCTGCGTAGGGGAAACATCAAAACAAGCAACCTTGGAGTTACAGCGAAACTCAGCCTGGGTCTTATTCCACTCCTTCAAAGCTTCCTTATGAAGGTACTCCATGTATGGTATTTCACGACTCTGTAAAACTTTCGTTGCTTCACCAGCCAAAACGTCCCCTCCCTCGTTCACTATCACTTGAAATATTGTACTAGGATGCGTCGAAAGTCTTCCATGGTACTTTCTTAAGAGAAAAAACAACGTGCTAAGGGCCCTTTGACTTTCATCGCTCAATGACTTAAAAGCTTCTCGTTTTTTAACATGGACAATGTCTTCAAAATTAACCGTGTTGTGTACACAGAGCTTTGCATGCACGATGTCTAAGTCGGTAACATAATTGTTAATGATTTCTTCAAACCTGCTGGACGCTCTGGCGCTCTCTTCCAACTCAAGCATATGACCAACACCACACTGAAGGGCGTACTTGGCAGCGTCACTGAAATGTGTCCCGTGAACAATTTTTCTTTTGACATCATCAAGTTCATCAACACACAGCTGAGAAAGAGCACGGTGGCCCTGGTCTTCGTTCACATAAAATTTGTGTTGCACGCCGTACATGTCGGGAGCTCCATCGGTCAACCAGTCCTTAACTGATTTGTGAAAGAAATGAATGCAGCCATCTTGGACAGGTAAAAGGGTTGAGATACATTCGATAGCCTTTCTAACTTTCCGGTGACCAGCTGGAGACTTTATGTCCGAAAGCAACATCTTAGAAACAAAGTCTAGAGGAAGCGGTTCTTTTGCTGCTGCAAGAGCACTTAGAAAAGTTAAAAACACTTCTTCACTGATTGTCAATTCCTTTTCCAAACGTTCAAAATAGGACTGATAAACAGACGATAGACCCGAAGGTAAGGTTCTTCCTAACTCCTCAGGCGTAAGAAGTGAAACGTTTTTCTTGATAAAATCGACCATCAAATAAGCATATAAGAAATTACCTGCAGCCTTTCGGACCAGTGCATCGACAACAAGTTCTTCAGAGCCTGATGGAATGACGCTGCACAGCTGTCTTTCAAGGAAAAGTCTGATGTCCTTTACATTTTCTTCATCATCTTGCTCGAGTAGAACAGGGTTGAACTTTTTAAGACAATCTACGATATTTATTTCCGGTCGAGTTGTAACACAAAATCGAACCCAACCAGGAAGTGTACTAAAGTGATTAGCAATGACATCAAGCAGCTCATTGCGGCCTTTGTATTCACTTTCATCCAGGCCATCAATCATCATGAGCAAGCTTCTTCCCGGATCATCTATATTTATTAAAGGCTCCTCGAACAGCAATTCAAAGAGCTCTCCAACCTCTAGTTTGTTGATGTCTTCACCCAAGTTTCTTGACAGTGCTTTTACAAGTTCTCTTTTATACAGTGGCAAAAGCTCACTCAGCTGATAAGCTAACGACTGAAGCATTATCTTAGGATTTCTGGGACGCGCCTTGTTGTGCTGACAAAAGTGACTTCCCGACAGTCGACCAGCATGTCGCATTCTTTGACAAACGACAGCGGAAATCACCGATTTGCCCATTCCTGCATCTCCACTGATTACCATCACACGATTTTCAGAAGCACGGTCGTCTAGCCACAATGTGATGATCTCAAAGATGCACAAGCGCGTTCCCTCCTGGTACTTCCCAGAGTGATACTGGATGACTCTCTCTGTATTAACTTTTGCCAGTTTTCTCAGTGCTTCATCTTCATTACCTTTATCTCTTTTTTCTTTAGCGTCTGCAGCTCTATCCCTGATCTGCTGCTGCGTTTCTTGTTGGGTTCTCAAAACTTGCTCTACAGACCGCTGTAGACCTTCAGCTACCTGGTGTGTATCTTCAAGAGTTTTGTGGTCCGCTTGTTGCAATTTGCCAGCCTCCATTTGGTTCTGTTCTACTAGAAGAACTCTTTGGTTTGTATCTTGAGCTACCTGGCGTGTATCTTCAAGAGTTTTGTGGTCCACTTGTTGCAATTTGCTAGCCTCCATTTGGTTCTGTTCTACTAGAAGAACTCTTTGGTTTGTATCTTGAGCTACCTGGTGTGTATCTTCAAGAGTTTTGTGGTCCACTTGTTGCAATTTGCTAGCATCCGTTTGGTTCTGTTCTACTAGAAGAACTCTTTGGTTTGTATCTTGAGCTACCTGGTGTGTATCTTCAAGAGTTTTGTGGTCCACTTGCTGCAATTTGCTAGACTCCATTTGGTTCTGTTCTACTAGAAGAACTCTTTGGTTTGTATCTTGAGCTACCTGGTGCGTATCTGCAAGGGTTGTGTGGTCCACTTGCCGTAATTTGTCAGCCTCCATTTGGTTATGTTCTACTCTATGAACTCTTTGGTTTGTATCTTGAGTTACCTGGTGCGTATCTTCAAGAGTTTTGTGGTCCGCTTGCTGCAATTTGCTAGCCTCCATTTGGTTCTGTTCTTCTAGAAGAACTCTTTGGTTTGTATCTTGAGCTACCTGGCGTGTATCTTCAAGAGTTTTGTGGTCCACTTGCCGCAATTTGCCAGCCTCCATTTGGTTCTGTTCTACTAGAAGAACTCTTTGGTTTGTATCTTGAGCTACCTGGTGCGTATCTGCAAGGGTTCTGTGGTCCACTTGTCGCAATTTGTCAGCCTCCATTTGGTTCTGTTCTACTCTATGAACTCTTTGGTTTGTATCTTGAGCTACCTGGTGTGTATCTTCAAGAGTTCTGTGGTCTTCTTGCTGCAATTTGCAAGCCTCCATTTGTTTCTGTTCTACTAGAAGAACTCTTTGGTTTGTATCTTGAAGAGTCTTCTGTGCTTTGACTTGGTTTTCATAAATTGCTTTAAACCTCCTGTTGGAATCTTCCTCTGAGTCGGCCCATTTCTTTAAAATTTCAAAATAATATTTCTCCTCGCAATCCTCCACTCTTAACTTTTCTATGTCTGATGAAGGCAGACCAAGAGAACAAAGAATACCTTCAAGTTTTTTCCACAGATCAAGAAATTCCTTTTCTTTAAAACGTGTGTTAGATCGATGAAGCAGCTTATTACGAAAAAGCCTTAAACGAACTAGTTTTGCTGAAAGGGATTTGTCGCTTTGTTGTGGCATGTTGGACCAGCCTGTGCGAGGGGGGTGTAACTCACAAAAATTTGTGAGAATAAGAATAATTAGACTGATGTCAAATTTTTCAGGGTCTGGGTCACTTCCGTCGTCTGGGCGAAGTTGCTTCAATTGATCACTGTTTAAAACCTTGCTTTCTACCAGTTCTTGGATTCTACCCAGATTGGTTTTCAGGAAGTTGACCAGCTTGGAAGGGAAAGGTGTAAAATGCTTTTCCAGTTGAATTTTTACAGCTTTTGTTCCACCATCAACAAGAAGTCTATATAATTTGCCTACATTTGCTGTCGTAGTAGAAGTAGAGCTGGCTGAACGTGATGATTTTTCCGCCATGTTGGAAGAGAAGATAAGCTTATTCAGGATTTAATCCATCAACAGCACCTAGAGTACGAAAAAGAAAGACAGTAAAAAATATATATATGTTCCTTACCTCATAGAATAAAGTACTCATTTGGTTTGAGTCAGTGATTCAAAGCCGCAAAAGAAATGACATACGTACCCAGTATGACTAAAAGATTTAGCCCCTGAATTTTGTACACAATATGGATGAATGTGTTACATGTAAATCCACAATAAAAAGACCAAAACAACAAAAACGAAAGAGAATACAACATGCATGTAAAACCAAAAAAAATGGACAAAACATCTTCAAGATTTTCAAAGATAATGTTGACAATGCGTGTAATAAGGATTGTCAAAATTTGTAAATATGCCACCGTGAAAAAAAAAAAAAAAAAAACCAGCATCCCAGCTGAACTGAACAAAATTGCACACTGTTAGCCTAACACTTTAGCTTAAGAGGTAACACCCACTACCAACTCGGCCATACCCATACCTAAGTGGCTATGAACCATGCACTTGCACAACTTGAAATGTAGTGCAAATTTTGTCATTGGCTTTAAACATTCGAAATTCTTCCACCAAGTTCTCATTAATACATGTAGCAAGTGTTCTCTTCAAGGTTACAACCCCAGAAAAAAACTCTCAAGACATTTCTAGGTTATTTTTCTAATAAGACTCTACACTACCATCACTCTAAAGGAAACAAAGCCGCCCCCTCCCCACCCCCGTTCAACACAGTTCTTGTCTAACAGCTAACACGTATTCAGTTTTTCTGGTGTTACTACAAACAACATTGGAAGAGGGGAGGGGGAAACGGTCATTCAGTTGGTGGTGCAAAAAATACACATTTTTATCAAGTGACATCTCAACAGACTTTGTCCAAGCTTGTGGCTCTTTTACCTCGCCTACTCCATTTAATGTACACCACAGTCTTTTTACCCAGTGAAGGCCAACAAAGAGCATTAAATTTCACCCCATCCACTTTGGCAAAAAAAAAGCAGGGAGGGAAAGTGGGATAGCTCAGAGGCACGTTATAACTCGGTTGTATTTAACATTCTAGTAATGATAAGAATCTAATCCCATATTTTTCTTTAAGCATGCACTTTTGTACATCAGCTATAGTAACTTACCAGGCAAGTATTGGTCACTGATCCTCCACCCGAAGTAGGATTCAGAATATAATATCCCTCTTTGTAATCTCTAAAAAATATATTATGGTGTAAACAGCATTGCTTTACAAGAGGGATTTTGAGTCTGACCAAGAGAGAATCAAGTGACAGAGAGGAAATCTTACCTGGTATTGGCTTGGATATATGAATTTCACCAAAGTTATTTTTAGAGGTTGTAATTAAACAGACGTCTCATTCCTGAGACACCCAGACATTTTAATCAATTGTTCGAAATGTCATAAAGTCCACTGCAACTGCCTCAAAGCAACACTGCCAAAAAATTTGAGGACTTCTTCAGAAAATAACTTCTGAGTTATTTCGAGCATTTAATTGTCCTAAAAATAACTTTGGTGAAATTCACACATCCCGGCCTCATGCTAGGGCTAGACTGGGTGTTTCCATCTCTGTCCTGTAATGTTATCTCTTAGTCTAACTATTTTATGTGTAAAGCTTTGCATCTATAATAAAGGCAGGAAACATTATTAGACATTTTATTTTCCAACGGGCATATTTACATGCACGTGTACTTTCAAATTTTAAGCACTAATCACAGGCCTTCTGACAGGGTCCGCAGGTGCAGGGGGACCGCACAATTTGATCAAACCCGCAAAATCCAACATAATTCTGAAAAATCCGCGCAATTCTGGTCAATAACGATCAGCGATGTGTTTAGCGTTTCTATAAATACAAATTTTCCTGTCCATAACCAAGATTTTCAGAACCCTTAGTTGTAAGTGCTTTTTAGGCCATAATTCCTTTCCAAAAACACCTTGTTTTCTCTTTCACAGAACAGCTTTGATGAACGGTCATGAAAAGCAGCTACAAGATGTTCTTTGTAGCTTTGCGTGGTCCTGGGCACTAGTCATTTCTTTTTCATTTGCGGGATTTATTGTGACAATTGTACGCAAAATGACCCAAAATTATCTGGTCATAGCTTTGCAGGGTGCAAAGAAAGTCGGTTTTACAGCTTGCCACTCGGGCAAGCTGTAGCTAGCATGTACTAGCCCAAAAGTCATTTCAACTAGCCCCCCAAAAATTTCATGAGCAGGATTGATTACAGTAACTGTTCTTCTGTTATTTGAATTCCTAAAAATATATAACTTGCCTGTCGGGCAAGTTAAAAACAGAATTCACTAGCCCAATAGCAAAATCCACTAGCCCCAGGCTATGGGACACTACTTTCTTTGCACGCTGCTTTGGGAAGAAAAGACACCGGAAGTCTTTGGTACTTGAACAGAATTTATGTATAATATGAGCAGCAGCCAGATGATAAAAGTAAAATCAATGGGTAGCATAATATAGTTCATTTGTTAATCTCAGATAGAAAATTGAAATATAGAAAGGAAATAAAAGTGATTACAACAAAATCTAAACACACTGACGTTTAAGTGACGTAGATTACGCAGACATACATAACATTCTTAAAGGGTTTGCAATACATTGTAAGGCAATTTGCAAAAACGCTCGTTTTCCGGGTATCGCGGTGGCCGAAAGTCAAATGCACCAGTCAATTGAAACCATGGCCCACCGAACCCCTAGACATAGCGAGGGAGTAACAGGCACATAGCCATGGAATTACGCTTTTGTAACACTGCATTTTCCCGGGAGGACGGGGACAGTTAAAACAATTTGTGAAATTGGTGATGATTTTTCGCGGGGTGTAAAAATTTGTTTCTTCTTGCATCAAAATTTCTATGTCTTTTCTTTCTCTGGACTGCATATATGTATTTGTAAATAGGTTTAAAAAACCCTTAATAGGTGCAATGTGTACCCATCTCATTCAGGGCTGCCAACCCCCCAGGTCTTCAAATATACCATTTGCACATTAGAAGTCATGTGACATCATTTTTATGAAAGTTATATGATTTTGCCGTCAAAAAAACGATTAGTGGGTCATATCTTAAACAAAAAAATAGTGCTTTAGTTTTCAAAAGTGCACCATTTTCTTAAAAATATGAGGATGTTTGTATATAGCTGGTCACGTGACCAAAATTTGATTTTTAAAACTATGAATTACCTCTTCCTGAACAGAAATTTTGCACTTAAACTTGACGGAAATTGTTGAAAAGATGGCGTGATAACGTTTAAAGCACATCTGAGCATAACTATCAAACATGATACAAGCAAAAAGTTGTTTTGGCCGTTATGTAGCCTGCGTGTCATGTTGAAGAGCAAAAGCATGCCCTCCAACATGGCTGCCAATACAATTCATACTACTTTGTTGAAAAACCGAAGTGCCATAAAATATCTCCCTTAAATGCGTTTCCTCTCAAATTTCACGTGTAAGATAATTTTTATGCACTCTGTCAATTTTTGTCATCAACAGGATTCCAAGTCATTGTTTAAAGGACACATTGGTCACATGACCTCTTAGTGCAAGTGGCCTATTTATAGGGAAGGGATTATAGATGATGTCATAATGCAATGGTACATAATGTCATTTGTGCAAAAAATACTCTTTGACACTGATCGTCCCTAACATTTATGATGACGCAAAACGCACAAAAAAGATGTTGTTGGCATTGTAACATTTGACCCAATTATTTTTTTTCTCACCAATCACATTACTGTTTATATGACAATGACAATGGCATATCGGAGTGTATGAGGAAATGTTCGATGTTAACGGGAAAATAGCTCTTGAAAACAATGCAAAATATTTGAAATTTCATCATTGGAAAGTTGATTCTTCTGAAGAAATGGCAAACTCAGGCGATTATGCGGGAGATGCGGTCCACAAAGTCTCGTGGATTATACGAGAGAGTATTTGGTATATAAATTAAAGACAAATTTGTTTGTATCTTTGACACATTGTGAAAGAGAGGGTAACAATTCAAAATGATGAAGGAAATTAATGCGACGTTCACAAAGATATAAACAATGTTGAGACAACAGAAGCAAAGATAAACATATAATCACAGGGCCTCCCCCACACAGTCTGTTTGTGTAACTGATTAAATTGTAATTTTATAGTAAAAATGTACTGGATTATATTTACCATTTGCTTCATCTGTAGCAGCATATCGTTGGATACGTACGTGGATCAACGCTAAATTAACATTGTGTTGCCTTACGTACGGTAAATTATTGTCATCCTTTTAGCCTCAGTAAAGAGCGAACTCAAAATCCTTCAAAATGGCTCAAAATACCACTTCTGAGGCAAAAGAACGACAATTTACCTTAGGTAAGGCACCACATTGTCTAATTAGCATTGATCCATGCACATATTTAACGATATATCGCTACATAATATGAAGTTTGATGAAGCAAATGGTAAATCCAGCCCTTGTAGAACCAGACATATGCAAAACCTATGCTCATGCTATTTGTTTACTATGTTAAACTATGTTTCAGCTATGTTATGTTCATTACCTATGTATTAACTATGTAACATACCACATAACATAGTCCAAAGTATGAAAAATCTATGTTGAAACTATGTTTAGGCTATTTGAAAAGTACATAGCTTTTGAATACCTACGCAAATACTATTCAAAATCTTTTCATAGTCTTGACATAGCTATGTATTTACTATGCAATAGAAAGTTCTGCTTTTCCTTCCAATTTGCATCCTATGTATTCCCTAAGCATCAAAGTAAAAAAGCTTTTACATAGCATCTCACATTTACTTTTATTTCCCACTATATCCTTAGCTTTTACATAGTGCTAGCTATGTATATTCTATGCTATGTGAATGAAACATATTTGCAGCCTATGTTTTTACTGTGACATTTTAATTCAGTTTTATCATGACATAAAGACTGCTAACTTTTACATCCGCCTGTGCGGATCCGCGTCCTTTCTACCCTTTGTGACGTCCTC